GACAATTGGACAAAAAGTTTTTAGTTTGACATTGAAGGTTCATTTTGTACATTTGTTGTTTAGAAAGCCAAGTTTTTATGCTCATGATTTATTTGTAAGAGCAATAAGAGAGGATCAGCACTTCCTGTCTCAACAACAGCTTAAGCAGAGCAGTGAGTGTGGGAGCCGCATGTCCACAGACACCCAGGTTGGTTCTGAGAACCGAAACAAGAACGAGTCGGGCCTAAAGGGAGGTGCTCTTTTCTTGTCATTGTGGCTGCTGGTTCATGTGAGCAACAAGTTGAAGGACAAATTAGTTCATGATTTAAAATGTAAAATCATCTAGTTGCAATGGAAGCTACAATGCATTTCTGATATTAAATGATATTTGACCCAACATGAAATGTTTAGTATGAAATTAGTTTGGTGGCACCAAAGAATTGATCAGCTTTCTTTCAAGACTGATGCATAAAAGACCAATTCTCCTCACTTCTGGTAATCTAATATTTATTTTTGCAAAAATAGATGCTGGTATTAACTCTATGAATTCTTCTGCATCAGCAGAGTAAATGGATCAATTTGTCTGTTGTTGAGCTTTTTCAGCTAATCTGTGATGATAACGTTTACTGACCTTGCCCAAATTAAACTCAGCGTTCCACTTCGGATTATTGGATTCGATCATTTTGGTCCTGTGTTGTATGGAACCATAGAACATTTTAGCATAGCTGTGAACAAAAAGAGGAGCCATATAAAAGGTGTGTTCATCAGGTTCCATAAAATCTTTGTTTTTTACCTTTGCATCAACCCACCCATCAGTTACTGAAAGATCGTCTCCAAATAGATCCCAGCCTTGAACAATGGTTACTGATAGAGTTCCCCTTGAGGCGCGCAGAGGGCAGCAGTTAGAGGACAAATCAGGAGCATAGCCCCTACATTGTGGTTCTTTGGGTGATTTCTTCACAGCAGTTTCCTCCAAATACTTCTCAATAGCAGCTTTCACTGCTGCCTTTTGAAGCTTGTTTGGCACGAGCTGATAGAGAGGTCGAAGGGAGTACGAAACAATATCTGGATGTTCTTTTAGGCTTTTTAGCCAGTTCATGAAGCCCATGGAATCATTTTTGAAAATTGAAAACTTCCCCAACCAACTATTTCCTCCTGACATCTCTGTAAAGTGTCGGTGGAGACCAGAGCTGAAGCCAGTGGTGGAGTCCTTGCTTTGTAGGACACTTTTGCAAGACTTCGGGACACTAGAGAGTTTCATCTTCCCCAAGCCAACAGCAACACCCATAGATAAACAGGAGTGGACCTGGGTGAAAGAACAGCAAAGAGATTTTTTTTAAAAGCTGCTTTACACCAGACATTTGCATAAAGAGCCAGACACAAGCAGAGAAGAATATAGTCATATAGGAATCCTTGGAAACTTAAATGGACAAAAAATAAAAATAAAAATCACACTTAAAAATACTTAAAGTAGGTTGTTGGAAGTGATCAACTTCATATTTTTGCAGCTTCTTGTTTTTGGTAATAATATAAGCAGTGGTGAAAGTAGTTTTAAATTCTTGCCGGTACTATGACAATAATTTTAATGAGGTACTATTTGCAAATAAGTATCAAAATACTAACTGTAGTTTTACTTGAGTAGCTTACATTATTCTTTGTAATATTTCCACCGCAGCTAGCATGTATAAACATCAATAAACATTTTTTCAAGCAGCATTTTTTATGCCTCTGTGAACCACCTGTGTAAAATGTTCCAGTCTGTAAATCAAACAAACCAATCCAATCAGTAAGCACCGTCTTTTATAAGTCAATAAGCAGTTGTTGTCGAGGTGCGCTGTGCTGTTTTAACTGAACAAAATAACATGAAACACAACTATACTGAACAAAAATATAAACACCCCATGTCTAATATTGTTGCCGTGTGGAGTTAACAACTGTAAATGAGCATTTGCTGACATTTATTGCACAAAAGGACTATACATCTATCCATTTATTTTCTGTACACCCTTGTCCCTTAGTGTGGCTGCTGGTGCCTCTCCAGCTAAAGTGCTGGGCGAGAGGTGGGGTCACCCTGGACAGGTTGCTAGTCTGTCGTAGGGCAACACAGAGACAGACAGGACACACAACCATGCACACACATACTCACACCTATGGAGAATTTGGAGAGGCCAATTAACCTGACAGTCATGTTTTTGGACTGTGAGAGGAAGCCGGAGTACCCAGAGAGAACCCACACATGCACAGGGAGAATGTGCAAACTCCATGCATAAAGACCATTTGCTTTTAATCAGGACATTTTGTAATAAGCAGACAGACGTTATAGGCTGCTGAGAAACCTACGAGCGCCGGGAGGGCGGTGGAGGAGAGAAAGAAAGAGGCATAAAGAGAGAGAGAGAGAGACGGCTGGAGGGGTACAGGCTCCATCACACAGCACGAACAGTTCAGAGACAATAAGAAATGAGAATGAGAGAAAAAACCTATTTATAAACAGATTAACTCGTGTTTCAAACTACGTATTGCTAGCTAAAACTGCAGCCGTTCTGACTGACAGCCTTATTGCGCCGTTCTCCTGGTACTGCGTACCGACCCAGAGACTGTTACCGGTAAGCAGTACCGGACCATATTGACTTACTTTCACTCCTGAGCATTAGAATCATGGAAGTATCTCATATGGTTGTGTAAAAAATCTGTTGTTTTGTGCATTTTGTTACCTCACTTGAGGTTAATCCATTCAGGGAGGCCAAGCAGCTTCGTGAAGATATCAGTCGTCTCAGTCGCCCTCCAAGATTAACCTAAAACAGGTATAAAGTTCTTTAAAATTATTTCCTGCAGAAAAATGTCTAACTAATTCACAATGTGTGTGTGTGCCAAAGTTCTCACCATTCTGAAGTAGTGTGTGCCATAGGTCTGTATGAACTTTCTATACTTATTCTTAGTGCAGGAGCTGTAGTAACTTGGCAGGAGGTCTACCTGCTTTTTGAACTCTACGCTTAAGGGAGGTTTGGATGATAATATAAATCTAGGCACCAAAACAACATTAGACAATTATTTCAAAAACCATGACCTGTTAGAACTCAATGAAAAAAGTCTAATTTCCATCCTACCCATAATGGCTGCAGGCGACACTGTGTGTGCTGAAAGTGTAGCGATCCTCTTTGCTCCTTTGTGAAGCGAACTTGTAGGTATTGGAGCCGGTTCCTCCCACATCTAACTTGCCAGATGTCAGAACTTTTTGAACATCCAAGCCAAACTGATGAAAGTCAGACAACACATGTAGTTTATAAGGTGTTAAACAAGAGGCCATATTTTTCTATCACTATTCTAATCACTTAGGTTTCTATCAGGGTTGTGTTTACAAAACTCAGGGCTGCATTGAAAATATTCTGAAATGTTCAGCTTTGAGATGTTTCTTACCGTCCAATCATTTGTGTCTTGGGATGTGTAAGCCTGAACCAGAGAGCTGTTGGGACATTTTAAAGGCAGTAATTATTATTAAACATCTACACAGTTCATTTTCATATTTTTAATTAGGTAGTTAAGCTTAGTGAAATTGTGGATTTAACTATTATTTTAATACTTAAGCCTTATTAGGCAGGTATTTATAAACTACAGTTATATTCAATAAATTAGAAAATGCTTCCATATTTGGCTCGGTTTTCAGATTAAAAGTACTTTTGAAAATAAACTCTAAGCAGGTGTTAAACACCATTTTAACCGCACTTCTGTATTACAAAATATTTTTATTGGTTTGCTGTGTTATTTAAATTTTCAATGTTAAGTTTGCAGTACTTGTAAGTTCAAAATCCTCACAAATAAGAGAAATAAATTCTTTAAAATTTCATATATGTAGAATCATTCTATATAAATAATGTTTCACTTAGTGATGAATCTGTCATGATTTGGTTTGAGGGTGGTGAGGTAGAACGCAGGCAAAACCCAGGATGAAAGTGAAAATGAAAGTTTTAATGACAATCCACGGACACAGAACGACAGCAGAACAGACACACAGGGAAACAGGCTGGTTACACACAGCGAGGATCCGAACAAGAGACAAAGACAACAGGTGGGACTAAATACACTTAATCAAAGAAACGAGACACAGCTGGGATCAATCAACAGGGAAGACACAGAGACTCAGGGGAACAGACACAGAAAAACCTCAAAATAAATACACAGAAAACAGATCACAACAAAATCTTCTGAAACAAATGGACTTTTCAATATTACAATTTAGTGAATGGATTTGTATTGGCCAGTTTTCTTCACTTGGTAATTTAATCAAAAGTTCTAGTTTGTTCATAATTTTCCTAATTAATTATTTATAGTTATTCACAGTCAAAGTGATTCTCATTGTTGCAGGATGGTTCTTGATCACATGTCCCTTTCTGTGTGTGAATATATGTGTGTGTGGGTTTTAGGACTTGTAAGTCCCCATAAGAAGTGCTGTCTTTGACTAAGTTTAGGACTGAGGAGTGACTTGAATTTAGGTCGGGTTTAGGGTCAGAGTCAGGTTTTTATATGCACAGACTAAAATGTTAAGTTGTCCTGCTGCAACAGACAAAGTGAAATGGACATGATGTGTGAACTATGCAACCAACCCCTCTCTCCAAACAGAAATGGTTTGACTAGGGAGAACATTTTTGACTTCGGTTTACACCATAAAATATTTGAAGGTGGCTCGACTTAAAAATGAAAGTCCACCTTCTGCTTTGAAGTGCGACTAAAGTCAATAAGAAAATTGTTTAGGTTTTAACTCATAATTTTAAGTTCTTGAAGATGATTTACCAAGAAGAGACAAGTTGTCTAAACATTATTTTTTTTTAAGTTCTGTTAGCGCATTAATCTTGAATTGTGAGTTTTAACTTAATAGTGGACTTTGAACCAAATAATCATTTCACAATATACAAGAAAAAAAAAAAACTTCCATCACACATTTCTGTATTATTTTCACTCACCTTATCAAGTTAATGTAACTACGTATTTTATATTAGAAATTCTTGTTTCAATTTGATTAGAACTAAATTATCATTTACTAATGAATTTAATAAACAACAACAAACAACATAAATTCTGCTCAAAAACTTTTAGCCGAGAGTTATAACTTATCAAAATGAACATTTGCCTTAATAACACATCAGAGTCAGATCAATGTAACACACGTCAATCTGAGAATACAAAAACATGCCTCTAAGCATTCTGGGAAATAGTTCCCATTCCTGTGTTTTTCTTCTGTCAGTGTTTTTAGCACTAACCTATAAACTCTAGTTTATTCATCCCTTTTAAAATCTAAAACTAAATTTATTTCACTTAAAGACTAGAGGATAGTAGACACAACTAAATGTGGCCCAAATGTTTTACAGTATATTAGGCTGACCCGCTCTGCAGAACAGGGTCAGTGCTCTACAGGCAAAGAGAAGTAAATACACAACCTCAGACTCCCTCCATAGCTTTGATATCTTTAAACTGACAGACTAGACGTGCTCCATGATTTGTCCCAAATTTGGGATTTTGTGTTACAACTTAACTCAGCTTCAAACTTTACCACATTTTTTGTTTTACTTTGGTCTTCATGATGCTGTTTGTAACCTTAACTGTGAACTTAACTGAGAATAAAGGTGCATTTTATTTAGTTGTTTTAAGAATTATAAATTTATTTTGGGTGACCTATGAAGTCAACTGGTTACACTTGAATATATTTATAATTATCAGAATATCAGTATAAATGCACACCACATTTTTCATATTTAGCTTCTACTTCAGAATTATGCACTATGTGTTGGTCTAACAACATAAAGGTCCAATAAACAGACACTGCTGCTTGGGACATGTAATAGTAACGTTAAAAAAAAGAAAAGAAAAAAAAATATATATATATATGGTAATTGTTAGTTTAATCGTGCTATTCTACTTTTACAGTGTTCACAATGAGGTTTAAACACTTTACCTAGCAGAGGTGTGATAACTGCTCATGATGTCAGCATTGCATTGACTGCTGGCACTCCAGTCCAAAACAGAAGATGAAATCTTAAAATGAAGAAAAATCACGTTATTGTTAATCCCTCAAGTCAGATGTGCAGCTGTTGATTTATGCATCTTTAATTACTTTTTGGAGGGCATCGTTTTGAAGAGGGTTGGTGCAGAGAACACAGGTTTTGTTGGGGCTCAGGTAAGTCTTCACATCAATCACATCAGCTTTTCTCTCCATTGTGACTATATCAAAACCTTCCCCCACCAGATTATGGCCAGGTACAAAAGGAGCAGCATCACACTCTGTTTGGGTCCCGATCTGACAGGACAGAACAGAGGAGTGATGTAGGAGGACGCTTAGGAGAAGAAGAGCTGAAGTTGAATCGGGAAGCATAGCTGTAGTCAGAAGCAAAACAATAGAGAAAAAAGGAATTAAACTGTTTTTTACATAGTACATGGCATTTTTCTTATTTTTATGATTTATTTTTATATCATCATATAAGAAAGTTAGTTAACACTGTATTTGAAGGGGTGTGCATAAGCCTGACATGACACTGTCATAAACACGATTAAACATTCATGAATATTTATGACTGGTTATGTCATAAACATGGGCTTTATAAGGGTTATGGTAACACATGCAAAAAAAAAAAAATGACTGATCAAAGATGCATATGTAAAAATGTACATAAAAGTTCAAATGCATGTATGAATTAAATCTGTAATTGTTTGAATAAATATTTAAATGCAGCAGTTAATGATGGTGAAACATTAGTAAAGAGTTCTAGATAACACACAAAGTTTCAGCCAGTAGATATTTGTGAAGAAAACAATGAAGCTCATTCATTAATCTGATTTCATTCCCATTTTATTATTCTATATATTTCTTTTGTCTTATCAGTAGTTCGGTTACATGCCAGTAGAAATAAGTTATTCACAGAATAATTCAGCTGTAAAGTTGGGTTATTTAGTTAATAAATTCTGAGACTCGATTAGAAATAAGCATGTCAGTAAAGAAACTTGTGTGAAAAGTTTCTTCATTCCCTCATTAGAAATTGAGCTTGGCTTTATTAATTAATAATAAATTATGGATTACAATTTGTAGTAATTAAATAAGCCAAACGTCGAAGCGAGTTCTGATTTCCAATAATTTTGATATCACCTTGTGAGGTTGCTACAACATTTTTGGTTTCCAGAATTCTGATTCCCAGCAATGAACAATCAACAAATTCAGCTTTGGAGATCCACAGATCTTTGATTTGAACAAACAGCCACAAACCTCCACCACATTAATACCAGTGAAATTATAAATTCTAGGGGTGCACTGACTTATCACCCATCCAATTTATCTGTGTCAATTTCCCTAATTTTAGGAAATCGGTAATCAGGCGATTTTTACATGTGAAGCCAATCTTATCCACCATTTTTATCTACCTTGGCAAAGGTATTTAAATCAACTGCTACCTTCTGCTCTGCTGTGAGAGGGGTTTGACTAGCAGACCGGCCCAGCAGATCATGTCTAAATGTTTTTAGTTAACAATAGTCACCCCACTGTTGGTAACTCATCAACTTTCTTCCTATGTTTAGCAAGATTTCAGACAAAAATATTTATATAGGCCAAAATCAAAATTGTCAGGTCAGGATTTTTAATGGATTTGTTATCAGGGATCAGCCAGAAATCTGCAATAAATTCATGAGAAAAATATCTTCTATAAACAATTTTTAATAACTCAATAAACACACAATATTTTTAATCCTGCAGTGTATTATACACAAAGATACACTGCATATTAAAAAGTCTTACCTGTTCCACAGCAGACTGAAAAGAAGTTGAAACAAGCAATGTTTCTAAGTGTGCTGAGCTGAGAACTGTGGTTTATAAAGCAGCAGCCCTGGAGATATAAGGATTCATACAGAACATTGTGTAAAGGTCAATTGAATGTAGTTACTTTGTTTCTTGTAACTGCTGGTAAAGTTTGAGGTTTTATTTTGGTAGTGTTCTGTATAAAGTATCTATGCTAACAGAACAAACAGTTCTACTGGAACATTTTGTTACGGTAGAATAAAAAGTTTTACCGGAACTGCAATGAAGGAATTGTTGAACATCACGTCAGAAAAACGCATAAAAAGCAATTTTAAATTTAGCTTCTTTCAATAAGGGAACAAGACAATGGCGATTGAAATTTATTTAAGTATTTTAATTCAGTAATTGTGTTGCACTCATAAAGCAGACAGGAGTTCTTCTTTAGTTTCGGCTACTAGATTTGACCCAGTCTGTGTGTAGTGTCTTGGAATTGTTCTCTGTGCAGCAGCCGGGCATTAGTGCACAGAAAAACTGTTAAATAGTTTCTTCTTCTAGTTACAAATTTACAACTGACGCTGCTTCCGGTACAAAAACAGTCACGTAGAACACAGCTCTAATTCTGTAAAACTTCTGCTCTTGAACAAAAATAACTAGGGATGATGTTTTAAACAATAAAATTAATAAAACAAAATAAATTTATTAAATAAATGGATGAATGAGTGTAAATGAGTGTATGCAAATTTAAACCTGCAGTTTAAATTTACATACTGTACTAACTAAATGTGATAACAAGCTTCGTGTGGCCTCAATACAAGAGGAGCATCAGTATACTGTCAGTCTGAAATCTGCAGGGAGCATTTTATTACACCTTCCAATTCCCTAGCCTGTGGGCCAGGGTGCAGAGCCAAAGAAATATGTGGCACAGCTTCATGTTGCATGCTAATCTAAGCTAAGTGATCCTAAGTCAGACACACTGCAGCAGCAACAGCCACGGGAGCCACATAAATGTCCTGAGAAAAACACGGTCCAGTCTCTGCCTATTAAATGTGTTTCAAACGGCTCCCGGAACCATTCAGTCTGATTAGGTGCTAAAACAGGGTGGCATGGAAAAAGGTCAGAAGCCAGCCCATAGGATACAAGTGCTTGGATTCAAGGTTTCCAAAGTGAGAAGAAGATAAAATCTTGGCGTGTTCAGTTGTGTCCGGCTGTCAGCCAGTACCTCCACCAATTGCTTCAGCAGAAATTGTCCATGCGTATAAACAATGCACAATTATGTGCAAAAGTGTGGTGACAGGCAGAGTCCGTTGCACCCCTGAGAAAACAACCACTGATCTGTTCGATCAGAAAGTTCATGTGAATGACAGTATTCATAGTGGAATAGGTATCTCCTGTATCCACCAAAAATGGCAACAATTGTGGCTCACATACTACATACTATTTTATACGTAATTTTATGTACTGTTACTGCTAAACCAAAATGTCCAGCATGGAGAAACAGGATGATCTTGAGCTACCTCGACACTTTTCTAAATCATGGCAGGCCAGAAGGGAAAGATGATATTTTTTCCTTTCTGTCTTCCAGTAGGATTAAGGCCAAGGTCTTCTAAAGGAAAACTGTGAAACTGTTGTGCCTGGACCTTTAAGTGATAAATAATATTAATTAAAAAAAAAATCATTGAACATTCTGGCTCATGAGATGACTTCACTGTTTTCAAACATGAATAGATGATGGAAGATCATGTCAATCAACAAATTTAATCAGCACCTCTTGTTTCTAACCATAAAACTGTAAGGAAACAATGATCAGGTTGATATGTCCCCTTGTTCTCCTCTTTGCTGCTACAGAAGGTCTTGACCATATAGTTTTGTGACACATCCTGTAGTGTAACTACATCTTTGCCATTTCTAACAAAGCAAACCATGTGAAAATTGTGTAAATTTTTTATTTTTATTTTAGTTGGACATAAAGCTATAGACAGTTGTTAGGGAACTACATAGCTCACTAAAGTTAATAGACTTTAATGTGCCACTTGTTGTGCAAACTGGCATATTGAGATCTCTCCAGTTTCATGTAGAATTTGCATACATGACAGTTGGTATTTGATAATTGAAAATAAATTATTCTTTGATTGGTGATTAAAAGTTTAGTATTTTGTGAAATAAACATGGTTTCCATTTTACAGAAGTGAAATGGGCCCAAGTGATTTAAAGGTAACAAATAATGGTAATAGAGACACAGAGTCAATAACCAATGTTGTACATAATGTATTGATTAATGTACTGATTAAATAATTATCGAATGTTGATTACTTTGGTTGTAATAAAATGGAAAGTGGTTGTAAATGTATTAGATGTGATCATAAGATGTACTGGGAGGCCTTGTAACCTTTGCATTATAAGTAAATAGGAATGCAGAAAAGGATAAGTTCCCAGAGGTTAAAAAAAGGAAATGAAAACTTCAGCAAAAGCAAATCTGAATAGCCATCTAGTCCAGATGAACTAGCCATCATCTAGCCATCATTCAACAATCATGATTGTTGATGATTCAACAATCATCAAGGGATGATCGTTGAATCATCCCTTGAATCAACAAGGGATGATTCAGTTCATCCCTTGTCGAACTGAATCAACAAGGGATGGTGAACGGTACCAGTGAAAGGTCACGAAGCATCTGGCCATACGAGTAAGGAGTCACATAGTGTCTGCAATACACAACCATGGGATGAGAGAGTATAAAACCCTTGGAACAAGGAAGAAGCCGCTTATTCTCCACGCCAGATGTCGAGTTCAACAACAAATCCAGTTTGAAGATCTACAGAGGACCGTACCCAAGACCAATGGGAAACCTAAGACTGCATCGCATCTAAGGAGAGAAGCAAACTGCCCTCATCCATGGCTCCAGATCTGACAGCTGTCCCTGTGACTCTTCCTGAACAGGAGCCCCATACCAGCTACAGACTTGGCTGATGGACAAAGACTTCACCACCTGATGGTAAGCTGACGAAATCAGAAGGCAACGTCAACATCCTTTATTTTCCATTCAGAATGCTTTGCTGAGACAAAGCAAACCTTCCACCACAGACTGCAAGGTCACCTGTTGCAGGGATCTGCCTATCATCTGGTGTATGAGTGAGCTGCTTCCCAAAGCCTCCCATAATAATAGTGTCAATAGTTAGGGATAGAGAGTTGATTAGTATGCAATTTCTAAATGTATATTTGATTGTTAAAATTCTTACTGTTGCTTGACCCTGCTTAAAGTTTGCTAAACAAAGTATAAAAAATTCTAAGATAAGTTGTGGACAATCAAATTAATGTGGTTATCTATCAATTTTGAGTTTTTTTAATGGTTGTAAAAAGTAATGGCACATGCTTCTAGAGATTAGAGGGTATTTTGCACGGTTACCTTATAGATTATTAAAAATAACACCCTTGGAGCTTATGTCTAGCTACTAAAATAAGTCTAGCCCAATAACAAGTGCTCGTTGAGCTACCATTAACAGGTGTGGTTTTTGGGGATACGCAGCTGGAAGGCTACTCAGCAGATTGCTCCACTAACTGAAAAAGGTTGTAACATCTGGAATGTAGGTAGTGAATTGGCTAGATGAGTCTCTCTCGACACCAGCTTAAATAGATTGTTCCAGTAATTCTAGTCAGAGTAAGACTCCATTGGTTTAGGAACTTTCCAGACCCGTTAGATGGAGAGCTGCTCGGTAGTCAGACCTGATTCGTAAGCGAACAGTGTGGGATTGGCTACTGCACAACAACACACTTTATAGTAACACAAATAAGTCATAATCCATAATTACGTCTCTACAACTAATTATACAAGATCTGTTGAAAATATAAAGTCAACAACTCGTAGCAATTTCAACAATTTTATTGTCATGAAAGGGAATACAATTTGCATACATTAAAGCATTGTTATTTCTTGTGATTAAATGTTACACAGAATCTTGAATTTTTTCATTGTATGATAAATACACATTTAACTTTAACAAAGTTAAACGATTAAGTCTAAATTATGAGTTTCTATCAGATTTAGTGAGTTAATGTTACATGATGAAATGAAATGCTTTCATTCCCAAAACTCATCAATCTCCTGTCACTAAGGAGATGGATGATAACGGCTGCACTTTTCTCCAGTCAGATACGGGTCACATTTCAGCGTGTATATAACATCAACTCTTCCATACTTTCCTTTGCACGTGAAAGTGTGAGTGCCCTGGCTCACGTACTCCTCGCACTTTGCGAGAAGGTCGTCATTTTTATAGTCTTGATCCCAAACCTCAATTTTCAGAGCCAGGGTTGTGTCAACCTTCAAGAGAAAATTTGAATGGAGGATCATTCAGATGCATATTTTCCAGTTCAATGTCAACTTTTTAATGTGATATAGAAAATAAAACTCTTTTCCATGCATCTCAAAAGTTGATAAATGCAGTGCGATCTTAGCCAAAATACTGTGACATCACAATGAAATAAAGTATCCTGTGAAAAAAGAAAAAGTTAAAGAGAATAACACGACTTAATGAAATAAAAAATGAAGGGTTTGTATTATTATATGTACAAGATTGTCTTGTATGTATTTATATTTTAATTTGTTTGTAAAAAGTCCATAGTCCATATGTACTTTACCCGAACTTATAAAGCAAAAACACATGGGTTTTGGAGACTGTGTTTCAGATTTGGTTTGGTGTTGTTTATTATGAAGGACTCCAAGAGTGACGGAAACAATAAAAACAAATTCTATTGGAAGAGCTGATTTATGTTTATTACATATAGCATGCCCCTCCCATCTGCACTCCTAAGCTGACGTGTCTGATCATTTTTTGTTTTATTTCATTCAAATTGTCCTTGCTCGCATTGAATAGGAAAGGCTGTTACTATTCTGGGTTTTAAATGTTTATATAATAATTAAACAAACTCTGCTGAGTGTGTGCAATCTCCTGTGTAGACGGGGGATTTGTTACAACACAACAGCACAAGATATGATATACATCAGCTAGGCTGTGTCTGTTTACACAATATATGTGTTGGTTTCTGTTCAAATATTTTCAGGTTTTTTTCTGTTTTTACTGTTATTTGTACTCGACCACACACAACTTGAAATGCGCCCGGTCACTTTGAAAGTTGCTTCAAATGGCCTCATGAAGGCATAAATCAAGTAAAACCAAATTCTTTTCATGCAGGTGCTGACCCAGTATCTCAAAACATGAAGAATGTTTTGCCTGCACAATATGCTGTTTGTCTGCATTACATATCATTGTATACTTTGATTACTCTTATTTAATTTGACTGATTCCTTTCAAACAGATTTTTAAAAACAAGAAAAAAAAAAGCAATCAGTAGGACAGAGAAAAGAATTGGGCAAAAAGTTTCTTCTTTGACATTGAAGGTTCATTTTGTACATTTGTTGTTTGGAAAGCCAAGTTTTTATGCTCATGATTTATTTGAAAAAGCAATAAGAGAGGGTCAGCACTTCCTGTCTCAACAACAGGTTAAGCAGAGCAGTGACTGTGGGAGCCGCATGTCCACAGACACCCAGGTTGGTTCTGAGAAGCGAAACAAGAACGAGTCGGGCCTAAAGGGAGGTGCTCTTTTCTTGTTATTGTGGCTGCTGGTTCATGTGAGCAACAAGTTGAAGGACAGATTAGTTCATAATCAATAATTTAACATCATCTAGTTGCAATGGAAATTACAGCATATTTCTCCTATTAAATGATATTTCCACCTAATGTGCCATGTTTGGTAACAAATTGTTTGCCATTCATTGGTGGCACCAATGAACGGATCAGCTTTCTTTCAAGACTGATGCATAAAAACCCAATTCTCCTCACTTCTGGTAATTACATTTTTACTTTCGCAAAACTTAATGCTGGTGTTAACTCTAAGTTCTTCAGCATCAGCAGAGTAAATGGATCAGTTTATCTCTAGTTGAGGTTTTTTAGCTAATTTGTGACGATAAAGTTTACTGACCTTTCCAAAATTAAAATCCTCGTTCCACTTTGGATTGTTGGATACGATCATGCGGGTGGTGCGCCTCGTGGTACCATAAAATACCTGGACATAGCTGTGAAGGAAAGAGGAGCCATATAAAAGGTGTGCTTGTCAGGTTTCATGAGGTCTTCGTTTTCAACCTTCACATCAACCCACCCTTCAGTCTCATCAGAAAGATCTCCTTTGAGATTGTAGCCTCGAAGAATGGTAACTACTAGTGTTCCCCTTGATGATTGCAGAGGGCAGCAGTTAGAGGCCAAATTAGGAATTTTACCCTCACAGCGTGGTTCGGGGGGAGATTTCTTCACAGCATTGTCCTTCAAATACTGCTCAATAGCAGCTTTCACTGCTGCCTTTTGAACCTTGCTTGGCACGAGCTGATAGAGAGGTCGAAGGGAGTACGAAACAACATCTGGATGTTCTTTCAGGCTCTTTAGCCAGATCAGGTAGGATTTGGAATCATTTTGGTAAAGTGAAAACTCCCCCACCCAACCATTTCCTCCTGACATCTCTGTGTGGTGGTGGTGGAGACCAGAGGTGTAGTTAGTGGAGGAGTCCTGGTTTTGTAGGACATTACTGCAGGCTTTCACAGCGGTAGGGAGTTTCACCTTCCCCAAGCCAACAGCAACACCCATAGATAAACAGTTGTGGACCTTGATGAAAGAACAGTAAAGAGATTTAAAAAAAAAAAAAAAATCTGCACCACACCAGACATTTGCATAAAGAGCCAGACACAAGCAGAGAAGAATACCTTCAAGTAGAAAACCCTAGAAATTAAAATGAACAAAACAAAACAAAAAAAAAACACAAAAAAAAAAAAACATGAAAAAATGCTTAAAGTAGATTGTTGGAAGTGATGAACTTCATTTGGCAATAATATAAGTGCAGCCGAAGAAACATCAATGTAATTTTATATGTGACTGTACACAGTGCCACATACTGGCCAACCGGTATAAGTTCACAAAAACAATATGCAAACACACGTGGCCTGAATCAAGAATGTTATAATTTGAGACATAGCATGTTGTTTGCTCCTCATGACACACTTAGAATTAAAAATATTTGATTTGATTAATCTGATTTATTTATTTCAAAAAGGTTTTTAAAAACAAGAAAACAAGCAATCAGTAAGAGAGAGAACATGTGCATACATAACCAATAACAAAATAATTAGTTCACAACTATTTTTCTCTCTGAAAAGGAGCAGGGAGAAATGAACACTTATTTAATCCCTTATCTCAATGTAAAGAAACCTATTACTTACCGACTCAACAAATATCTAAAATTTGTCATTAAAACCATGTTGTAATAGTCATATGCCTGTTCAATATACTGTGCTAAATCGTCAACAAATAAATTGTATTACATAGACAAAATGGTTACAAACTAACTCATAGAAAGACAAGAAAACCACAATAAAAATAAGTTGCTGTAATTTAGGGTAAAATACCATTAAGACTACATCAGGACAGGTTGGCCATCTTTGTCCAATGTCCCTCATCAGTGACTGGCTCTTCAGTAGCTTTCTGGTTCTAAACACCAGTCAGACACTAAGACCATCATCACACTGAGTCACAAAAACATATATTTTTTAACTGAATTAGGACTGTTTTACACCACTGAATCCAAAAATGACAATCAGGTCAGGGTTTTATTCTAATTTGATTTAGAAAAATCTAGTCTTCTGACTAAATTGATAACATTTTTGTGACATTATCAGTTTATTTACTTTAATATTTCTCATTAAAAAATGTTCCAGGAGAAAAAAAAAGTTCTAACAGTGTGTATTAATTAAATGATACAAACTTGGATTTGTGTAAATTGAGTAATAAACGCTGATGAGGGTAAGTACATGTACATTGAAAATTATGTCTTCATTGTTCATGCAAAACTAAGGGCATGAACTTCCGTTTCTTTGAATGCCTTGTATGCTCCTCAGCAGGGATATCTTTCTTCAGAGTCCAACAGTAATCAGCCATCATGACTTCATCCCAGCGTAATATGTACCTTAATTCAGAAAGTTGACTAAGGTGGCAAAGCCAGTGCGATTTGTGTAATCAGCACATCAAAATTACTCTTAAACAGTTGAGAAACCCCAGACAATTATTTGGCTGTTGACCAGTGATTGCTCCCAGGTACTAGCATCAAGACAATCACCCAGAACACTGCATTCTTCTGCCCACTAGAAAAATCAAAGTAAAAAAGAATCTAGCTGTCACATTTGACTCATCATTAGGTGTTAGAATCATGGAAGTACCATACATGGTTGTGCAAAAATCTGTTGTTTTGTGCATTTTATTACCTCACTTGAGGTTAACCCATTCAGGGAGGACAAACAGCTTCGTGAAGATGTCAGTCGTCTCATGCGCCCTCCAAGATGAACCTAAATAAGGTATGAAGTTCTTTAAAACGCTTCCTTGCAGATCAATGTCTGTAACTAAGTCAGAAGGTGTGCGCGTGTGAACGTTCTCACCAGTTTGAAGAAGTGTGTGCCATAGGTGTGTATGAACTCGTCGTAGTCATTCTTAGTGGAGGAGTCGTAGTGACTTGGAAGGATTTCTAAATGCTTTTTGAGCTCTAAGCTTAAGGAAGGTCGGATTGACATACGAAAACTAGACACCAAGACAAAAATTGCACAATCATTTCAATAACCATGACCTGTCAGAACTCAATGAGAAAAGTTTAATTTCCATCCTACCCATAATGGCTGCAGGCTACACTGTGTATGCTGAAAGTGTAGCGATCCTCTTGGCTCCTTTCTAAAGCGAACTTGTAGGCTTTGGAGCGGGTTCCTTCCACATCTAACTTGCCAGACCCCGGATCTATTGGAACATCCAGGCCAACCTGATGAAATAAAGACAACACATGTAGTTCAAAAAGGTGTTAAACAAGAGGCCATATTTTTATTATCACTATTCTAATCACTTCAGTTCTAACTGAATGCAAACTAAAAAGATAATAAAATTCTTGGAAGAGCACATATGAACTGAAATGAAATGGTGAAAGAAAAAAAAGCAAACAGCAAGGTTTCTATCAGGGTTGTGTTTTCAAAACTCAGGGCTGCATTGAAAATATTCGGAAATGTTCAACTTTGAGATGTTTCTTACCGTCCAATCATTGTTGTCTTGGGATGAGTAAGCCTGAACAAGAGAGCTGTTGGCACATTTTAAAGGAAGAAATCATTATTAAACATCTATACATTTTAATTAGGTAGTTAAACTTTCTAGTTTAGTGAAATTGTGGACTTAACTATTGTTATTTTAATACTGTTGGAGATCTCCAGTTAAGGTTCGCTGATGCAGGAGATCCCAGAAGAGTCAGCGAGTTAAAATCAACCAAGGTTTATTAAACAGTACAAAATATATCTTGGAGTTCCACTTCAAGCACCAAACATGCATACAGAGTTACCCAAAGGCAATCCCAGTGAGATCTTTAGTCTCTTTGTCTTTGTCTCCTACTATATAGCCCCCACCCAATGGCTGTCTCACTGTGCTCTGTGGCCTGACCCCCACCCTGCTGAGAGCAGGCTCAGCCTTTGGTTTTAAGGCCAGTAGTCATACGAAGTTTTATTGAAGTTACAGAGGAAAGATGACCGCTTTGAAGCAAACAGCTTTGATTGATCTGTAACCCCAGTTCCTGTCCCGGGATAAAGTTATACAATTAACAACCATTTGGTTCATGTCCTCTTTACTCCACATTTTGGTTCCTGTCTCCTACCTTGGTTAGGGCTTGCAGGATGTGGTTATCACTTCCCTATGCAAATCAAGCTAACAAAGGCCAGACTCACACTGGGGGACAGAACGCAGAACAGAGCAAGGCCCTACTTGTAGTTTCCTTGTAACTCATAAAAGTTACAAGGAAACTTGTAACTTTCTAACAGAACTTAATACGCTAAGTTCTGTTAGCGTATTAAACTTGAACTGCGAGATTCAACTTAATACTGGAATTTAAACCAAATAATAATTTCACAATATGCAAGAAAAAACGGCCTTCACCTACTTAAAGAACACACATTTCTGTATTGTTTTCACTCACCTTATCAAGTTAAAGTAGATACTTATATTACATTTGAATAATTAAAATTCTTGATTCAACTTGATTAGAACAAAAATTATAATTTGCTAATTTAATAAACATCACAATAAATTCTGCGCAAATATTTTTAGCAAAGAGTTACAACTTAATAAAATGAATATTTGCCTTAATAACACACTAGAAGATAGTAGACACAATTAAATGTGGCCCAAATGGTTTACAGTACATTAGGCTGCCCCCGTTCTGCAGAACATGATCAGTGCTCTGCTACAGGCTTTGGTCTTCATGATGCTGTTTCTAACCATAACTGTAAACTTAGCTGAGAATAAAGGTGAATTTTATTTATTTTTTTAAAGAATTATAAATTTATTTTGGGTGACCTAAGAAGTCAACTGGTTGTACTTGAATGTATTAATAAGTATCAGAATATCAGTATCAATGCACACCACATTTTTCATATTTAGCTTCTACTTCAGAATTATCCACTGTGTGTTGGTCTAACAACATAAAGGTCAAATAAACAGACACTGCTGATTGGAACATGTAATTGTAACATGTAAAAACATATCCTGTAATTGTTAATTTAATTATGTGACTCGATGTTTACAGTGTTCACAATTCGGTCTAAATACTCTACCTAGCAGAGGTGTGATGACTACTGAAGATGTCAGCACTGCATCGACTGATGGCACGCCAGTCCACAACAGAAGATGGAAGCTTAAAATGAAGAAAAGTTGGCATTAATGTTAATCCCTCAACTCAGATGTGCAGCCATTTATTTATGCATCTTTCATTACTTTTTGGAGGACATCGTCTTGAAGAGGGTTGGGACAGAGAACACAGGTTTTGTTGGGGCTCAGGTAAGTCCTCATATCCATCACATAAGCTCCTTTTCTCTGTAGTCTGACTATATCAAAACCTTCCCCCACCAGATTGTGTCCTGGTACAAAAGGAGCAGCATCACACTCTGTTTGGGTCCCAGTCCGACAGGACAGAACAGAGGAGTGATGTAGGAGGACGCTTAGGAGGAGAAGAGCTGAAGTTGAATCGAGCAGCATCGCTGTAGTCAGAAGCTAAAAGATAGAGAAAAAAGGAATTAAACTGTTTTTTTACATAATGCATGGCATTTTCCTTATTTGTATGACTTATTTATACAACATCATATAAGAAAGATACATAAGGTAAAAATGTACATAAAAGTTGAAATGTATGAATTAAATGCATAGTTATTTCAATAAATATTCAAATGTATTTAATACATGGGAAAGTAATATCCACAGTCTATTTAGTCATTAAGTCTGAATTCTATTCAATTCAATATTATAGTCCTGTGTTAGCAGCATATCCTGAATTTATTTTAATTTATGCTATACATAAGATTCTTAAACTGAATGGCACTGTAAACAGATATGACATTTAAATAAGTGTTTCAGTAAGTTTAGGGTTTCCCCCAGTGTATTATAAGACTGGCACCTGCCATGCTTTACTAGCCAGGCTAAGCGTTGCTTGTTTATGGGTTTAGGGAAATATATATATATTTTAAATTGCTTAATTCTTTTTTCTTTTCTTTTTTGTTTTAAAGCCAGATTGCAAGCATCTCTGTTGAGCTGAGCGTTTCACTGGCGGAGCAGATTAATTTCTAAAATACAGGAATTTTTATACGTTAAGCGTTTAAAGCCAGAGAGCGGACCAATCACACAGCTGGCGCCTCTGCACGTTGCCTTGATAAAGCTTACCTCAGCGTGGATCGCGCATTAGTGGTTAACTGACCAGTGCTAACCTCATCATGCAAGTTCAGCCTGGTGAGGAGCTTCAGCTCTCGTCTCGTAGTCATGCATCACACTGTTTTATATTATTTTATTATTATTTTTCCGGTTACACAATGCAACAAACCATACCAAACGCTTTGCCCACTTAGTCAGCCAGAGTTAATGCGCGCAGTCGTGAGGATATCTGAAAATCTTGTCCCACTAACTCCAGCAACCAAAACGTTTTCTGTATGAGGCCTTGAGCAGAATTTGAGTTAGGGGCCCCTTTTGTTGATAAAAATATCAGCACCTCTAACAGCTGCTGTGTTAGATTTAATGAAAACTGGGAGAGGGGGAGTAGTTTAGTTGGTCAACCTAAAAACAATCAGTTATAATTGCAGTCTACTAATTTGTATTTGTGAACAAACAGAGCTCAAACGCAAAGATTAAACTCAGAA